AGTGGTATTTGTATACTCATGTTGATCACAGCACTATTCACAATAGCTAAAATGTGGAAAGAACCCAAGCACCCACTGACGACAAATGAATGGAAAAGCAAAATGTGTTATATCCATACAACGGGATATTATTCAGTCTTAAAAAAGGAAGAAAATTCTGACACATGCTACAGGGATGAAACTTGAGGACATTATGCTAAGTGTAATTAGCCAGTCACAAAAAGACAAACACTGATTCCACTTAATATGAGGTACTATAAATAGTAGTCACAGAAGTAGAAAGTAGAATGGTGGTTGCCAGGGCTGGGGGCATTGGGGAATGGGAAGTTACTGTTTAATAGATAGATATAGTTTTACAAGATGAAAAGAGTTATGGAGATGGATCGTGGTAATAGTTGCACAATATTATGAACATGTTTAATACCACTGAACTATGCACTTAAAAATGGTCAAGATGGTCCATTTTGGGGCACCTGGGTGGCTCAGTCATTAAGCGTCTGCCTTCGGCTCCGGTCGTGATCCCAGGGTCCTGGGATCGAGCCCCGCATCAGGCTCCCCGCTCAGCGGGAAGCCTGCTTCTCCCTCTCCCACCCACTCTGCTTGTGTTCCCTCTCTCTCTGTGTCTCTCTCTGTCAAATAAATAAATAAATAAAATCTTTAAAAATAAAAAACAAGATGGTCCATTTTATGTGTTTTATTGTAATTAAAAATTGGGAAAAAATGAAGGTAATAATGCTGACTGGGAACGCATGACAGAGCAGTTCTCCTTTTGGCCATACCCTTTCTGCATTCAAATGTAGTTGCTCCAGAAAAACCACTGGGCTTGAATTAGTGGGGTAGTGGTGATACATTGCTGTTGGATCGCTGTGAGTACAGCTGCACCTGTGAGACCTTCACAGCAATGCATATTGGGAATTGTGGTTAAGAGGGAAGAAAGGAACACAGCTTTTTGAAATGCCAACTTGATTATTTATAATGCAGACATGATAATGCTTAATTACCAATATTTCTTTTTCCAACCTAAGGCAGGCTATAAACCAATGAACTATTGTTAATCCTGTTTACAGAATGTAACCAGGGCTCCCCTACCATCGCTTCTTAGAAAAACTTTTCAAAGGAAGGGAATGCAAGGGAGAGATGAATGATAATAATGGCACCTATCTTTCGGACCTTTATTATGTGTGAAGCACTTTGTTATGCTCTTTAGAGATATCATCTCATTTAATCCTCACAAGAAACCTATGATAGCAGTTCTGTTATTATTAGGGCAACCAACCATCTTGGTTTGCCCAGGACAGAGGCAGGAGAGTGTCCCTGGGATGTATGACTTTACATGCTAAAACCAAGTAAGTCCCAGGCAAACTGGGACAAGTTGGTCATCCTAGTCCCCATTTTACAAATCAGGAAACTGAGATTTTAATAACTTCCCCAGAGACACTCAGCCAAAGACCCTCAACTCATGAAACTCAGAGCCAGACCTGAACCACCAGGCAAGCCTATCTTTAGACAAGGTTCTCAGTGAAGTTAAAGCGAGGGAAAGAACCCAGATCTGGCTTATTCTATAAACTGACATCAGCAATCCATTTCAAACTTACTCAAACTTTCTCAAACTTACCTGATCATAAGAACTGGGATGCTTGTTTAAAACACAGATTTCAGGGTCCTACCTAGAAGGGGCCTGGAAATTAGTATTTTTTAACAAGTGTCCATGTAATCCTTATGATCAGAAAAGCTTGGGAAGATTGATTTCGTCTATAATTACCCCTCATTTAGGTTTGGTTTTGAGCGCTCCATTCTGTAAATTCATCCATTTTGTGTTTTTGTTGCTATGCTATGGTTTTCTCTTATGTATCAGTGTAAGTTCCTTTGGCTATACCTAGCTTTGGGTGTACTGACCAGAGAACAATTCTAACGCTGTACAAAGTGTACAGACGGGATAATAGGATGCTCCCTAGGGATCAGGTGGTAATAATGGCCATGGTTATAGAGAGCCAGGAAATGGCCAGGCAGGGCTGGGGAAGGAGAAAAATACTTCAGCTACTGTAAACTGTAGCTTCCTTTGGCCTACTTGAACCCCTTAGAAGGTCTTGACCTCCCTTATCAGAAAGGGCAGTGTGGTATTGTGGTTAAGAATACAGATATTGGGGCGCCTGGGTGGCTCAGTTGGTTAAGCGACTGCCTTTGGCTCAGGTCATGATCCTGGAGTCCCTGGATCAAGTCCTGCATCGGGCTCCCTGCTCAGCGAGGAGCCTGCTTCTCCCTCTAACCCTCCCCCCATCATGTACTCTCTCTCTCTCTCTCAAATAAATAAATAAATCTTTAAAAAAAAAAAAAAATACAGATATTGGAACCAGATTGCTTGGGATTGAATCCCAGCATTAGTAGCTCCTAGCTGTGTGACCTCTGGTAAATTCCTTCCCTCTCTGTGCCTCATCTATAAAATGGTTGTTTTTTATTTTTTATTGAAGTGCAGTTGACCTACAATATTATATTAGTTTCAGGTGTACAACATAGTGATTCGACAAGTTTATATATTATGTTATGCTTACCACAAGTGTAGCTACCCTCTGTCACCATACAATACTATTACAATACCATTGACTATATTCCCTATGCTGTATCTTTTATCTTTGTAATTTACTCATTCTAAACTAGAAGCCTCTATCTCCTACTTACCTTCAGCCATTGTAAAATAGTTCTTATATTGGTATGTCATGTCTCTCATAGGTTCTTTCTGGGAATCAAATAGCTTAATATTTATAAAATGCCTAGAACTGGCACAAAAAACTGCTTTGCAAAAAAAAAAAAGAGAGAGAGAGAGACCATTAAAGTAATGTCTCTAATCCATTTCCATTACATGGAGATTAAGATATCATAGAAGTAACATGATATTATCACCGAAGCTAGGACTGTAGGGGAGGGTAGAGTGGGTTAAGTGGTAACCTGACTGGGTTGTTAAATATTCTCCTGGAAGGGGATGTGCAAACCTTAACATCAAAAGCAGGAGACGGCTTTCCCATTGAGCCAGGCTTAATTTTCATTCCCTTAAAATTTCCACAGATTAGCACCTAGTTCAGAAGGAGAAAGAACCAAGTAACATTATAAGTAACTTAAAATTCATTTATTTATCTACCATGCATTCATTAAACATTTATTGATGATCATCATTATTATGATGACCGAGGCTCAAAATAAAACATTTTCTGTTCTCATGAAATGTAGAGATAGACATAAACAAATACATATAGTAAAGTTATAACAATAAGTTGGTAATTACTAAAATATCCATATTTATGAAAACATTTGTACTCATATTAGCATGATACTTGTTATGCTGTTTCTATTTAAAACATCTGTCAATTTTATTTTTGCTATTTTAATTTTTGACCAGGTACTACATTCTCATGATTTATAAATAGAAGCATTATAAAAAGACACGCTATGAAAAATTTCTTTCAGCCTTTCCCTTATCTGCTCCATTGTATGCCCCCTTTTCCTTACATAATAACCAATTTTGTTAGTAGTTTATTCATTTCCTCTAGAATTTCTTCTTATTCTTATTTCTACAAGCTCTTTAAATAACCCTTTTTAGAGTATACTTGCCAAGGAGTTATCTAGTGAACTCTTAATATTTCAAGTAACAAGGAACTCAGCATTTTCCATTTTTGAGGCAGCCCTGACTAAGAGAGTTCCCTCTTACATAAGGGGAAATCTTTCTGTGGATCTAGCATTTTTTCACTTAAAATATATTTTAATGCTCTCACTCTGATCAGCCCTATTGTGGCTTTTCTCAATGAATGTCTAAACAACTGTATCTGTTACAGAGCTTTTTTGCAACTAGCTTCCCTCCCAACTTTTTTTTTTTTTAACTATTCTAACCACTCATCTCCCTCCCTATCCCTCAATCATAAGGATATAATAAACACTTATTTTAAAATTTATTTATCTGTTATTTATATTTATTTATCAGTTTTAATTATCCAGCTAAGTCAAGTCCAGCCCTGTCTTTTCGATGAGGTCCTATACCGTTTCAGTCTGTCCGTATCCTTCATAGATATCCAGACCTGTCCTTTTTCTCCATTGTTCAGTCACTTCAGGATTGATTGGTTCCCCGGCACTCACACAGTGCTTTAAGCTTTTGAACTTATAGCTTCTCAGAAAACAACTTAAGTTAAATTTAGGAGAAAAAAATGGAGAGAAATGAAAATTAGAGTTATTTCTAATGAAATTCAATATAAAGTGTGTTTTAGTTTCCTCCTTCCTCCTCTCTCCAATACAAAATAAACAAACCATTCTAACATCATAAAATGACTCCCAAGACATCCATTTTTTCCCACTTTTATTTTTTGGGAGTGTGTGATTTGTTGCCAAAAAAAAAAAAAAAGCCATGTCATCCTCAGGGAAGGTGCTGCGTGATAACATTTTAAATCAGTGATTAAAAATTTACCAACTGTGTGGTTAAATTGACTGTGGAATATTATGCAATGGAATACTATAGAGCTATAAAAAAAAGAATAAGGAAGCTCCTAGACAGTGCTGTCCAATAGAAATCTTTGCCACAATCAAAGTGTTCTATTATCTGCACTATCCACTGCAGAATCATCTAGCACTATGTGGCTACTGAGTGCTTGAAACACGGCTAGTGCAACTTTGGAACTGAATTTTTAGTTAAAACTAAATTTAAGTAATTACATGTGGCAAGTGGTTACCATATTGGATAGAACTGGATAGCACACAGTTCCAGGATGTATTGTTAGGCAAAAAAAGGAAGGTGCAGAACTGTGAACATATTATGTTTCCATTTATGTTTATAAAAGGGTGAGAATACTGGCATATTGGCTTGTGTTTGCACAGATTTCATGGAGAAGGAGAACGGAGACTGAGGACAAGGCTTAGAGGAAGACGACCTTTCACTCTATATTCTTATATACCTATTAAATTTTATATCATATGAAATATTTCCTATTCAAAAAGTTTTAACAATTTTAACAATTTAAAAATATTTACCAATGCACCCTTTCAAATGGAATCAGTAATACAGCAAAAGACATATATCCTTTTTCCTATTTACTGGGATAGGGTTCCAAATAGGGGTCATTTCTCTAGTTTCTCAGCTCAGGTAACATTCATCATCCAAAAGATTAAACATCCTTTTATCCATAACCACTGGACTCAGTGGTATACCTATGGCTGAACCCTCCCTTTCCTCTCCTTGCTTGGGGGAGCCTGCCTGGACGTAACAATTATGACTTAAAGAATGAAAGCAAGGAGAAGGGGGACAAGAGATTGTTAAATTCCATACCTACTAATGTGGAGCTATGTTTTTAGAGAGAAAGATCCTTTATTTTATGACTTCCTCTTCCTCTCCCCTACCCCCACTAAGTGCCTCTTTACCAACGTTTCTTACCTGGTCATATTCCGTACAAGCATTCGGTATGCAGTTGGTGCTGAACAGAAGACTGTGATGGGAAACTTGGAAAGTGTCTGCAATTTAGAAGTAAGCTCTTAGTCTTACTACAACTTTAATAAGTTCCTAAATGTTTATGGTAGGCACAGCACAACTTAAAACGTTGTTTATTCTAACATAAATGCATTCACACATTTCCTCTGTATATCTTTTCAGGATAATTGACTTTCCAGATGTGAAATATCTTAAGTCATGTTGTCTACTCTGATTTCTGCAAGTTACTTTATTCATCAGTCCTGTCAGGGACGCTGCTAAAGCATTCCTAAATGGTGACCTCTTGTGCTCTGCCTTACTTGCAAGATGGAAGTTGGCTCAAAACGTGGCAAATAATGTGCAAATACACATGCTCCCTGGATCCATGGAGAAAAGACGCTACTCCACGCCGACTTTGCCCAGCCTGTGTCTGAGGTATTCCACATCACATCTGAAGGAGTCAAATCCAGCCAGAACCTGGGAAAACAAAGAATGGTCCTGATATATATAAGGAAAACAAATTTAAAAGACCAATAAATGAATCATCCCCTCTGTAGTTTTGACACGTCAATCTGGAGTTTTGTGAAGGTACCTTCCATTTACAGATAATCCTAAACCAAAACTGCTATGAGTGTGTCCAGTCATTTTAGGAGATCCGCTTGTTCCACTGGTAAAGTAAATAGCCATCATCTCATCGTGTTTTGTCTTCACACAGGTGTGGTTGTCACTGGCGTGTCTACAAAGGAAGAACTACAATGATTCTGCACATTGCACGTGGCATCATAAACTGTTACCACAGAAAAGAATTCAAGAAACCATCTATGTGGACCTCTTCACCTCATGGATCAGGCCCCAATGACTTAGGTTGAGTTCCAAGGTAAAAGTCATCTCTTACTCCATCTCCTTAGGTGCTTTCTGGAATTAAACTAAATTTTGTCATCAAAGCCCATTTATAATAGTTGGCTTCATAGCTCTTTACGATAAAGAAGAGCTGAGGCATTTTAAAAAACTCAAGTGGTTTATCATACCGCTAGCAGAATGAGGAGTCTATGATCTTATAATCAAGGCTATGTGAGAACTGACCCTTCCTCTGCACTGTAGATGTTTTCAAGTGATTTTTTTTTTTTTAAGAAAGTGAGTATGAGGGACGCCTCGCCTGGGTGGCTCAGTTGGTTAAGCGACTGCCTTTGGCTCAGGTAATGATCTCAGGGTCCTGGGATCAAGCCCCACATCGGGCTCCTTGCTCAGTCTGGTGCCTGCTTCTCCCTCTCCCTCTGTCCCCCTGCTCATGCTCTCTCCTCACTATCTCAAAAAAAAAAAAAGAGTATGTGAACAGAAGTCATGGGTAATGGTATAAGTCAGGTTGGTAATTCCCACATTGTTCAAGAATCAGCTGTAGTTCCAAAGGATAACTGGGCTGCTAATAGGTCATACATTAGGGCACCTGAGAGGAGGTGAACTTTGCACACACAGTGCCTAAGAAGCATAGAGATTTTATCTAGGAGTATTGGGCTGAGAATGAAACATTAGGATTAGAAACATCCAGGCCACAAGAATCATAGAAAAGCTGTTTTAAAAGACTAATAAAGCTAGACTAAGTGTTTAGTCTGTGATTCCATACTTTTCTTCCTTAAAAATTGTACCTATAGCTGCATACCTATCACTTCTGTTGTAGATAGAAACCTAAGGTGGGGTTATCATACCAATCTCTCACCACTAGAGGCAGTAAACATAGCAGTTGGGAGTGTGGGCTCAGGGGCCAGACTCCCTGGGTATGAAACCCAGCTCTGCCAGATCCTAGCATTTTTTTTTTTTTAAAGATTTTATTTATTTATTTGAGAGAGAGAGAGAGAATGAGAGAGAGCACATGAGAGGGGGGAGGGTCAGAGGGAGAAGCA